CCTCCCGGGCTTCACGGCCCCATCCCACATGCTTCCCACAGTACTCGTGTCAGTGCTCGGCCGCTGGAGCCCCGACCGCTTCTCCAAGGGGGGCCTGTGCTTCCTCTCGGCGCCGTGGCTGCTGGCCTCTGGGGCCCGAGAGTGGGCCCCAGAGGCCGACGTCAAGGAGGAAAACGTCCTGGCCCGCTCGTGTCAGATATCGCCGGAGAGCCGGGCCTCTCCTTTCAGCACGTCCCCCCCCGTCCGTCCGCGCTTCTGTGCCCTCGACCGGGACGAGAGGCGCTGGCCCCCCCATCCGAGGCGGGCATTTGTGCATGACCACCGCCTGGAGGGCCAGTTTCCGGAGCCTCGGCAGGCAATGGCTGTGGACAGATTCGGGCCCCCAGGGGCCGAATATGTATCCCTGTCCACCGCCCGCTGGGGCACCAGGACGTCGGTTCCCAGGCGGTGGATGTGGATAAGTCCACGCCTCGCACCCCTCCCCCTGCCTGCTTGGCCCCCCACCCGCCCCTCTCCCGGCGCCCGCCCGAGACAGGCGAACCTGCGGGAGCAGGGCTGCGACCCGAAGGTGGTCGCGGACGCGATGTTCTGGCTGAGCCCGGCCCCCTCGTCCTCTCCTCCCCTCCAGCGCGGGCGAGGAGGCGGAGGAGGAGGAAGCGGAGGCGGAGGCGGAGGAGGAGGCGGAGGCGGAGGCGGAGGCGGAGGCGGAGGCGGAGGCGGAGGCGGAGGCGGAGGAGGAGGAGGCGGCGGAGGAGGAGGGAGGAGGAGGAGGAGGAGGAGGAGGAGGAGGAGGAGGAGGAGGAGGAGGAGGAGGAGGAGGAGTAAGGACTGAGTGTGTGTGGCTATCGTGGCCGGAGCCTGAGACCTCTCCAGATGTGTTGCCCCCTTCCTGTTCCTCCGAGGCGTGCCCTGGCCCTCCTTCGGCTGCGCACATGCCTCGCGGACCAGGGTTTGCGGGCTCCCCTCTCGCACGTCCCCCTCTCGGAAGCCCCCGGTTCGTCCAGGCAGCCCAAGCGTTGCCCGGGCGGAGGGGGTCGGCGGATCGCGGATGCATCTCCGATGCCTCAGCCTGATGCGGAGCCCAAGGTTCTCCACGCTGACATTTCAGATGCATCGCCGACGTCGACGCTCAGTCGCGGGTGCATCTACCATGCATGGGCGATGCGGCGCGATCGTCCCACCCCATCTTGTCGGACTTAATTTGGGAGGCCTCCAAATCGGTTTGGACGTAAACCAACTTTCAGACGACTTGCGATGTTCTTTCTATTAGGACGTTTTCCTTAAGCTGCGGTGGCTGTGTCCGATCATTGGGGCCCGGGGCCATTAGAAATGAACCCAGGATGAACACTTGCTCCCAGGGAAATGGTTTGGACCTGTGGCCGCTTTTTGAAAAGAATCGTCGTCGGATGTCTGGGGATGTTTCCTTGCGGTGGGTGTGGATGCACATGTTCCCCTGCGGTGCGTTTCGGATGCGTTGTGCTTTGGGACCGACGAACGATCTGCAGAAACATACGCTTTCGGAGGCAGGCGCGGACAGCCGATAGTGCAAGGGGGCATTCATTGCCGGGAAGCTGGACGGATCGTGGCGTCGCTGGAAGCCAACACGCGACAGGCGGTGCCCTATGTTTTCGGCGCCTGGGCTCCGTCTTCCGGCCTCGGCGCCGTCGAACGGGCTCGGGAAGGCAGCCAGCCGCCCCTGAAGAGAGGTCGAGATCCTCACGGGCCCGCGTCGCAAAAGCAAAGGGTCCGAGGAGGGGGAGGGGGGGCGTGGGGAAGGTGGATTCAGTAGCCAGTCGTCGTTCCAACGGCGCGGCGAGCCTGGACGAGGGCTGGATACAGTAGCCAGACGTCGTTGCGAGGCTCGGCCTCTCTATAGCCAGGTGCGACGAGCTTCCGCATGTGCATCTCCCGCGTGGCTTCCCAGATGTGAGTCGAGCCATGTGTGTGTGTATGTTTCCACGTACCTGGCACGATATCTGCGGCGTGCAGCTGCATTCTGGCCTCGCCGCAGAGCGCTCTCCTCGATGCATCGCGGACGCCTCCCGTGCCAGGATGCGCCGCCACCCCCCCCCTTCCGCAGCCTTCGAGCCGAACGGTCCCTTGTTTTGGGACTCGCGGGCAAAAGGAGGCCGGCGCGGCAGCTGGCGCCCCCCGAAGGAGGGGGAAGGGTGGAGGGGAGAAGGGGGACGAGATGGAGCATGAGGAGGAAGAGAAGGAGGAGGAGGAGGAGGAGGAGAAAGAGGAGGAGGAGCAGATGGAGGAGGAGGAAGAGGAGGAGGAGGAGGAGGCGGAGGAGGAGGAGGAGAAAGAGGACGGAGGAGGAGAAGAGCCCACCCGCCCTCCGAACTCCATCCCCCCCCAGCAGCCCCAAGTGGGGAACGCAGCAGCAGCAGAGGTGCCCCCCCTCCCCGCCCTCGCCCCTCCCACGCGCACCCCCTCCCCTCTGGTCACCGGGAAGTACGAGCCGTTTGGGCCCGCGGAGTACCAGGGCCTCGAGGCCGGGCAGGCCAAGCTGTGACGGGCCGGGCCGCGCCGCGTTCTCGTCAAGTTTCGTTCTATCCCGCATGGTCAGGATGCACCCCGCGTGAGAAGTGCAGGGAGTCGGGGCTCCCACATTTGTCTCCACACCTGTCTCGGGTCCAGGCCAATCAAGTGCGTGTTCTCTCTGTTGACGCTGAGTGGGCCTTTTTGTCGCGGAGCTCTTGGCGAACCTCTTTGTAGCTTCGCTCCGTCGCGGTTCACCAACTACGTTTATTAAGTATCACCACCATTATTGTTGATAGCTTCGGAACCTGGTGGCATGAACAGGGAAAACAACATCACGCCCTCGTCCTTATGCTTATGTATCCTCGTCCTCATCCTTCTTCGATCCTCCAGGGTGGAGAGCAGAGCGATGTTTTTGTTTGTGTTCAACGCGCAGCCCCAGAGATCCCGACCCCTTCCCTGGGGGCAGTTCGCCGTCCTGGAATAACTTTTGTTGGTGCTGCACGGGGCCCAAGACCAGACCCCAGAGACCGACATCTACGACGACCTCCCTGCTTGCAACAATCATGGAGACGAAGACGTGGGAACTTGGTTGTGTTCTGGTCTGACTTCCCCCCCCCCCCTCTCCCGCCTCCCCTGCTTCTCGCCGCGCCCCCAGCCGCTGCCTCCCCCCGCGCCCCAGCCATCGGCTCCTCTGCGTCCGTGCCGCGCGCTGCGCCGAAGCCCTCAGAGCAGGGCGTCTTAAAACACGTGCGATGGCCGCTTTTTGGCTTCGCCCGGAAGCGTCAGAGAAGTACCGTAGCCGATCCGAGCGGCGCTCAGGAACAGCGACGGCATTTGTTTTCTTACGCGCTTGGCATCCAAAGAAGGACGCTCTCCGGCCCCAGAACGTTGAAAAGATGATCCGTCACGAAAAAATGGTGCCCGGGAAAATATTCCAGACCCAGGAGAAGTTTCGTCGTCCAGGAACGGGGAAGCGCACTCCTCCTACTCCTCCTCCTCCTCCTCCTCCCTTCTCCTCCTCCTCCTCCTCCTCCTCATCCTCATCATCATCATCATCATCATCATCATCATCATCATCATCATCATCATCATCATCATCATCATCTTCATCATCATCTTCATCCTCCTCCTCCTCCTCCTCATCATCATCATCATCATCATCATCATCATCCTCCTCCTCGTCCTCGCACTCCTCATTCTCCTCTTTCTCCGCGCCCTCCCCTCCTCCTCCACCTCCTCCTTCCTCCTCCTCCTCCTCCTCCCCTCCTCCTCCTCCTCCTCCTCCTCCTCCTCCTCCTCCTCCTCCTCCTCCTCCCTCCTCCTCCTCCTCCTCTCCCTCCTCGTCCTCGTCTTTCCTCCTCACTCTCCTCGTGGGGCCGACGGGCAGGATCGACCCAGGACCCAGGCTGCTCCCTCGATCCCCTTGGCACCCTCGCGCTCCCCCCCCGGGCGGAGGAGGAGCCCTCTCCCCGCCCAGGGGGGGGGCCGCGAGGCCGCGCTGCCGTCTCGCCCCGGAGGCGAGGCGACCCGCGGCCCTCGGCAACGGCGGCATCGAAGGCGAGCCAGCCGAACTGCCTATATGTTCGTTCACTCCTGATTCTTCGAAGGTTCTTTGATTTTTGTTGGGGGGGCCAAGATCCTTCCATCATCTCTGATTGTTCCATCCCGGGCCCGTTCCTGGCCACGGGGGGGCCAGGACCAAGTTGAATCGAGCACAATGAGACATTAGCACGATGTCCTTTTCGCCGATGTCGGTCATCGTGGGACGTCCGAGCCGCACCCGCCCAGGCCGCGCTCCGCCCTGCTTCGGCGCTGGCTGGCGGGGGGGGGGGGGGCGATGCGGCCGGGGGGGGGGGCGCAGGAGGGGCCGCACTGCAGGGGCGGTGGCAACTGCTTTGGAAGTCAAGTCTGTCGAGGGTAGTGGTGCCCGCCTCGTTCTCCGCTCTCTTGCCTGCCCTAGCCAGGGGGGGGGCTTAGAGGTTGGCACCAACACCCGTATTCGCGTTGCCTTCGCCGAGAGGGAAGATGACCCCGATCTCGGCGATGCCTGTGATATTCGAGCTCCTGAGGTGACAGAGGGATCAGCACCCAAGTCCAGGGTCATCTTCTCAGTATCGTTTCAAGCGACCCTCATCCCCATCCCCATCCCCATCCAGACCCCCACCATCCCACCACCCCAGTGGGGGATCTACCCCCGGAAGCCCAAAAGGACCAGCCTGCATCCCCATACTGATCCAGGGGGGTAAAAATCGGCCGGTGGTGCCCAGGACACGCCCACAGGGGATAGGGGCCTGCGAAGGGATGTTCATCTCCTCCTCCTCCTCCTCCTCCTCCTCCTCCTCCTCCTCCTCCTCCTCCTCCTCCACTCCTCCTCCTCCTCCTCCTCCTCCTCCTCCTCCTCCTCCTCCTCCAAGTCCAGGATCTTTTTCCCATGGTGGAGGCGAGCCCCTTGCGCTGGTGTTGGCACAGACCTCCGAGGCCCCCCCCCCGCGGGGGGAGCGCCCACGCCTCAGGCGGAGAGGCGCATCCTAGAGGAGCCCGCGGCGCCCAGAGGGCGGCCGCTCCGTCCCACTTGGGGGGGGGGTGGGCTGCCAGGAGCAGGAGGAGCAGGAGGAGAAAGAGGAGGAGGAGGAGGAGGAGGAGGAGGAGGAGGAGGAGGAGGAGGAGGAGGAGGAGTAGGAGCAGGAGCAGGAGCAGGAGCAGGAGGACGAGGAGGAGGAATTGGAGGAGGAGGACGAGGAGGAGGAATTGGCGGAGAAGGAATTGGAGGAGGAGGAGGAGGAATTGGAATTGGAGGAGGAGGAGGAGGAGGAGGAGGAGGAGGAGGAGGAGGAGGAGGTGGGGATGATTAGCAGAACGAAATCATTTCTGGGTGCGGTCCTTGAGCAGGATGGGAGCAACACAACACGAGGAGCAAGGAGGGAGGAGAGGGCGGAGAGGCGATGGGGCACGCCGGGTGCGCTCGCGCCGCGCCTGACAGCCCACCACTCCCACCCCTTCCTTTCCATTGTGCTGCTGTTTCCTGATCCGCCGGCGCCACAGCGGTTCTGGAACTCCAGAGAGGGCCACTCCAGAGAGGGCCCGGTCGTGTGATGCTCAGTCGGAGAGGGAGCTGCGTACCTTGGAGGAGGAGATGGGGGATGAGCAGATGAGCAGGAGGAAAGGGAGGATGGATAAGGAGGGGGACGAGGAAGAACAGCGGCAGCAGGAACTGTCGTGGAAGGGGCGGGAGGAGCAGGAGGACCAGGGGAAGGCGGAGGAGGGGAAACGAGGGGGGCGACAATGGTGAAAAAGGACACGGATCCAGAACCGTGGCCCGCGCTGGGGCGAGAGCGCCAATCTGAACGACGGAAGCAAAGCGCCGATCCGAAAATGAGTCCCACTCTGCAGCGAGAGCACCAGTCTGAAAAAAACCCAAGCACTTTCATTTTGTTTAACAAAACTATATCAAAGCAGCAATGCTTCACATCTTGTGTTTGAGAAGTGTACGCGGAGGGGCCAACTGTCTTTCGGGCAGGGTCAGGGGCGGGAGGAGAGCAGTATGCAGAATCTGCCATTGCATGCGGGAAATAGGGATGCCCAGCAGCATGAGGGCGGCACAAAGGGGGAGGATGCCCAACAGCAGATGCTTCGTCGTCGGGCTTCGGCGGCGTTGGCGTCGCTTCAGGGGCAGCGGGAGGAGCGAGGCATGTTTCCAAGTCGATTCCCTCTCGGTCGTGCGAGTGGCGCTGCTGGAAGCGGACGCTGCGACCGTTCTACGAGAGAGCCCTCGGGCTCCTCAGACAGCAAGGGGCACGGGGGGAGCCGATGGTTCCACTCAGACTCCCTTGCCAATGAGGTTGAGTCGGGCATGTCCTTCTACAGGAGGGATCTTCGGAAATAGTTGAACAATAGTCTGGGGACGATTTCTAAACTGTTTTGGGATAGTGCTGAGCATTTGTCAAACTTTGTGGTGTTTTACATTCGTCCAAAATCCGCTTATAGGAGGACATGCCCGACCTAAGAATGAGGCGCTGAAGACCGGAAGTAGCTTCGCAGACTCGTTGCGCACCCTGGTGAGCGGCGCCTTCAGCTGAGGGACGTGGGCGCTCCTCCTCTTCCTCCTCCCCTCCTTTCCTTGCTGGCGGAAAACCGTTGTGTTTCTCCGATCTGGATCTTCTGTGGGCGTGTGACAAGGTGGTATAATTTGCAACTTGGTGGAATATGAGGTTGCTGTGTGCTCGGATTTCGGAACGCCGTGCGCATTTGTGCGCACGGTGCGCAGTTGATCCCAGAATGTCTCTCGATTCTGCTGAAGTCGGAAGCCGGCCACTCACGGAGTACAGTTGGCACGACGGTATTGTTCAGAGAGGTTTTCACAAACCCAGGGCAGGCGGATTCCACACATGGACAAAACATGAGAAGCAACCAAACACAAACAAAACAAAGACTGCAGGAGGGTGGGCGGCGTTGGCGTCGGTTCAGGGGCGGCGGTTCAGGCACTGGGGCTTGGGAGTCAGGACGAAGATTTCAATTCCGAAGATGCCGTTTTGCTGCTAGCCTGCTGGAGGCCCCGGAGGCCGCAATGACCCACCCGCGGTGCGGCATCCAGCCTCCCCTTCTTTCGAAGGGGCTCCGTGCCGCGGGTAGCTGGTTGTGGGCTCTGGGGGCCCCAGGCTCAGACCCCCGACGCCGTGATTTCCCACGACCTGTGCCCTTGGAGGTGTCGTCCAATTTCCTGGAACCAGCGCTCCATCCTGACCCAGGTCATCCGATGCCCAAGAAACCAGTAGCGCGAAGCAAGACTCGGTAGTTACCCGATTCCCCCCAGCTGGAATCGGCAGCGATCGAGTTCTCGTTGCTGTGGCCGTTATCAATTAGAGCTGCGCAGCGCTAATTTCAGGAGGGGGAAAACACACAGACACAAGTAATCGTCGATCCTCAGGAAAATATTGGAAAAGATGGAAAGTGGGGGGGAAGACAAGATCCCAGAAATGTAGGAACATATATGGGAATCCTGGTATTTGGTGTGTATTCATTTGTGTGTCCCAGGGCCCCTTCATAATTATCGAATCTCGTTTCGGCGTTGCCGAATGCCATGCAGGCGCTGCCCGACGGCCCCGGGGCCCGGGAGGCGGCAGGGCCCCGCAGGAGCCGACCTGCTCCGCCGCGCTCCTGTCCGCCACGCGAGGGGGGGGGCCGCTTGGGACCTCCGGCGGCGCTCCCCGTGTGTGGCCACGAAGCGCTGAGGACATGCGCAGGGCAGAGGCAGGGGTGGGAGGAGGGTAGGAGGGCGAGGGAAGGAGGAAGGACGAAGGGAGGGAAGGAGGAGGCAGGAAGGAGGAAGGAAGGGAGGAGGGAGGATGGGGAGGAGGAAGGAAGGAGGGAGGGAAGGAGCGCGGGGACATGCGCAGGGCAGAGGCAGGGGTGGGAGGGGAGGACGGGGAGAAGGAGGGAATAGGGGAACAAAAAATTGGCATGAACATAACAAGTCTGAGGCCCGCGCGGATTTCTCGGATCGGCGCTGACCCCCCCCTCCCCTGGCGCGCGGAGCGCGCCAGGGGCGGCTCCGGAGGCGCCGCCGGGGGGCCCCAGCGCCGATCCGAGAAATCCGCGCGGACCTCCGAGTTGTTATGTTCATGCCACTTGTTGTTCCCCTGAGGAAGGAGGGAGGGAAAGAGGGAAGGAACGCGGAGACCGTCTCTTCAAAACGAGGCCCAGCACCACAGGGCGGTCGTGAAAAGTTGCCTCTGTCCCCGTCGCCAGTGCTATTCGGGGCATGCCTCGGGCTTCCGGCGGCCCTTCGGGAGCAACTGCACAGGCTGCGCGGGCTCCAAGGGGAAACTTGCGCGTGCTCGGCCAGCGCGCAGCGGCGGGGAAAGCTCGGCCAGGAGAACCTCAAGCACCAGAAGGCCATCCACAGCATCAACGCGAAGCCCAGCCAGGTCCGCCCGCCGGAAGGGGGGCGGGTGACCATCCAGCAGTCGAGGGAGGGCTGGCTTCAAGCAGGGAGCGTCCGTCTACAGGATGAATAGTTAAACATAGCTGTAAAAAAGGTAAGGGGTTCTGTCTGGGGGGCTCGCTCTTTTAAGTCGAAACACATGCTTGCACATGTTTTCGCTAGCTTCAATCTGTCCTCCAAAAGCCGCCTCTGAGAGGACACTCCCCGACCGAGGCTAGCATAATGCAGCAGCTTCCTGCACTTGTCGCCCGCAGCTCGGCCAGTGTGCGACGGAATCTCTGTCTCGGGGGGCTTTTGGGGGGGCTCGTTCCTCTAATTCGAAGCACATGCTTGCACATGTTGTCGCTAGCTTTGATCTGTCCTCCAAAGGCCGCCTGTGGGAGGACACTCCCCGACCGAGGCGAGCATGATGCAGCAGCTTCCTGCACTTGTTGCCCGCTGCCCGGCCAGCGTGCGGCGGAGTCTCTGCCTCGGCCCCCGCCTCCCGGACGGAGCGCGCGGGGGGGCGGAGCCGCCCCGCCGCGCGCAGCCAGGTGTCCCAGCTGCAGGGCCGAGGCTCCCTGGCGTGGAGCAAGGGCGCGCTCTCCGAGACCATGACGCGCCACCGCATGATGAAGGTCCGGAGGGGAACAAACACACACAGACACAATGAATCGTCGACTGCCCTGAAAATAGGGGCAAGTATGGGAAGTGGGGGGGGGAAGACAGAGGCCCAGAAACTATAGGAAAATATGGGGAATCTTTTTATTTGTGCGTATTTATTAGTGTGCCCTGGGCGCCTTCAGAAGGTCCACGACGTCCAGGAGGACAACCGGAAGATGGTGGGCAGGACAGCGGGCGGGCGACGCGGGGGGGGAGAGCGCTGGCCTCGCGGGGCCGCACCTGCCACTCGGGGGGGTTCTTTCCAGCCCCCCTGGGCCAGGCTGCGCCGTCTGGAGTCTGAGCCCGGCGCGTCGCTCTACAGGAGGAATGTCCAAACATCGTCAAGAGCCAGTCGGTGGACGATTTGTTGACGTTTTTTTCTTATATATATATATAAGAAAAAATCAGGTTCAATCTTTGTTTCTGCATGTTTTAATGTGTCGTCACAGATGCCCCTGTCGGAAGGCACGCCCGACCTAAGTCCAGAGGGGGGGGGGTGGGGGGGCGGCGGGCGGCACAGCGCACCCCGCGCCCCGATCTCGACCCCGCTCCCGCTCGCGGCAGGCGGAGGCCTGGCTCCTGCGACACGCGGCCGCGTCAGGGTCGCACGCGCGATCTGAAGCCGCGGCCCAGGCCGCCGGGACGCAGCGGCGACTTCTGCTGCCGCTCCCTCCTCCTCCGCCCCCCCCCTCCCCTTTCCTCCCTCCCTCCTCTTCCTCCTCCTTCCTCCCTCCTCCTCCCTCCCCCTTCTCCTCCTCCTTCTCCTCCTCCTCCTCCTCCTCCTCCTCCTCCTCCTCCTCCCTCCTCCTCCTCCTCCTCCTCCTCCCCCTCCTCCTCCTCCCCCTCCTCCCCCTCCTCCCCCTCCTCCCCCCTCCTCCCCCTCCTCCCCCTCTCCTCGTCCCTCGGGCAGCGCCTCGGGGGAGAGGAGGCCGGGTGCTGGCCGGAGCGCTCGCCGAGACGCAGCTGCCCGAGGAGGCAGGCCCCAGACCCGGCGCGGTGCTGGCAAGGAGGCGAGATACCCTTGGGGCCCGCCAGCGCGAGAACAAGCGTCAGCCACGCGCAGAGGGGGGGGGGGAGGGGGGAGGGCTTCTTAGAGGCACCTCTGCTTCTTAGCAGGCGCGGGCCTCATCTATGGATGTAAGGCCGGCGCCTTCTAAGGAGCAGCCTCCTTCTAAGAAGCCCTCCCCCCTCCCTCCACCCCTTGTGCGCGCCGTCAAAAGCGTGCACAGTCAGCATTCCTAGTAAGGACGCGCGGATGTTCTTGGGGTGCCGTTGCGTCCTTGCCTCTGCGGTCCGTCCTTCGCGGCCTGCGCTGGCCAGACCTTCAGGGTGTGCGCAGTCCGCCTCCCAAGAAGTGCCAACTTCGGCGTACAAGGCCCCCGCATCTTTACGGCCCGTCCTTGCTATAGATCTCGGCGGTATCATTGCAACATCCCGGCGCCGCTATCGAGTCATATGTGAGCGCGGTGATCGCCCCCTTGATGGGGAAGCGCATTTGGCGCTCAGTCGAACTGGTCTTGCCCATGGACGGGCATCGGGTGCTCGTGTTCGCTGGGGGAGGAAAAAAACATAAGAATTGCAGCATCCCGGCGCCGCCATGGGTTGAGTGGCGCTAGGGCGCCCGAGACCCGGGGCCCAGGGAAGCCAGGGCGCTGGGGGAGGAACAACAAAATAAGAATTGCAGCATCCCGGCGCCGCCATGGGTTGGGTGGCGCCAGAGCGCCCGAGACCCGGGGCCCAGGGAGCGGGGGCACGGAGAGAGTGCCGAGGTGTCCACATCCACATCCGGCCGTGCCCCCGTGTTCTTAAGGGGGGGGGGCCCCGGGCACCGTAGACGGGGGCATAGATGCCCATCGTTCGCTGAAGTTAGATCGGAGGTTGGGGGGTGAGAGCGCCAACATAAATGTTTCCCCCGCCGGCGCGGGGGGGGGCCCCGGGCGCCGTGGACGGGGGCATAAATGAGCCCACCGCTCGCCGAAATTAGGTTTGAGTCGGGCCTGTCCCCCTACAAAGGGAATTCCGTCAAAAAAAAAAAAAACACCAAGCAATAATCAAAAAATGCTCCAAAAATAGCCTGGGGACGTTTTGGGGGGTAGTCTTTTTGTTGTTTTACCTTTTGGGGACATGTTTGGTGTATTTTTTATTTTTCGTCGAAAATCCCCCTGTATGGGGGACACGCCCGACATAAAATTACGTATTTGTGGATTTCACGATTCCAATCTACTGGAAGCGCCTGCCTACTACTTCAGTGATCGAGTGGCTTCACCCTTTTCCGTCCTCTTCAGGGGGCGGGTGGACACCCCTTTCTCTTTCAACGCCTTCCTATGTCATGTGTCTACCTACTTTTTTCCGAGCGATGGGTAGCGGGGGCAGATGGAGATGTCCAAGCCGCCGTTCAGCTACGCCCGTGTTTGCGGAGCCCCGAGTGTCGGCCACGCGCAGTAGAGGGGGTGGGGGAAGGGGAGCAAATGCTTCTTAGAGGCACTCCTGGTTCTGAGAAGGCGCGGGCCTTCTCAGTATAGATGTAGGGACCGCGCCCTGTGAGAAGAAGCCTTCCCCCCTCTCCCCTACCCCCCTCTGCGCGCCGCCAAAAAGGCTTCTTAGAGGCATTCCTTGTTCTGAGAAGGCGCGGGCCTTCTCAGTATAGATGTAGGGGCCGCGCCCTCTGAGAAGCAGCATCCTTCTAAGAAGCCTTCCCCCCTCTCCCCTACCCCCCCTCTGCGCGCCGCCAACCTTCGGTAGCAAATCATGGGTGCCGTGTGCGTGTGTACCTGCGCAACTGCGTCTTTAGTAGGGCACTGGCGATCGATGAAGTAGCGCCGATTTGGCGTCGATTGGCGTCGAGCAGCGTGGATTTAGCGTCGACGTGCTTCGAATTCGCGTCGGTTTGCCTCCCCCCCCCCTATCCCCCCTTGCGCGAGCCGCCAGCAGTGCGCGGGCTCGTGCCCAGCTCTCGCGTCCCCTGGCCGGCCCCCCCCGCTCGGCAGGAGCCCTGGCTCGGAGGTGGAGGAGGAGGAGGAGGAGGAGGAGGAGGAGGAGAAGGGGAGGGAGGAGGAGGTGGAGGAGATTGAGGAGGAGGAGGAGGAGGGAGAAGGAGGTGGAGGAGGAGGAGGAGGAGGAGGGAGCAGGAAGGAGGAGGCGGAGGAGGAGGCGGAGGAGGCGGGGATGGTCGGCAGGCCGACCCTGCCGAGACCAGCGCTGGCCCTGCGCGGGCTCGTGCCCAGGGTTCGCGCCCCCCGGCCGACGCCCGTTCCCCCCGGGCTCCGCCGGGCCGAGCCCTCGCCACTCAGGAGAGGAAAAAACACACAGACACAATTAATTCGCGATTCCCCAGAAAATATTGGAAAATATGGGAAGTGGGGGGGAAGACAGAAACCCAGAACATACGGGAAACTATGGGGAATATGTTTATTTGTGTGTAGTTATTTGTGTGTCCTGGGGCCCCTTCAGCCACGGGGTCGGCCCTCCCGCCGCCGACTTTCTCCCGCGGCCTCGCCGGGGGGGGGGGTGGGGGGACGCCTCTCGCCAGGCGGCCTGCCGCGCGCGCCCTCTCCCCCGTCGGGGGCGGCCAAGATCTGGGCTCAAGTCCGGAATGTCCCTCTGCAGGAGGAGCATCCAAAGATAGTCAAAACAATGATCTGGGGAAGATGTGTCGGTTATTCCCCGTTCCAGTTCTGAAGATTGTTAGGCTCTGTTTTGTTTGTCCCCCAGGATCTGCCTATAGGGGGGGGCATGCCCGACCTGAATCTAGGCCTCCCAGAGGGGGTCGAAGCAGATGGGGTCGAAGGATCGCGCCGCATCGCCGATGCGTCGCCGATGCGGGTCGACGCGTAGCCCGACTTTCGCCTCCTCGATGGCGCCAATGCATCGCCGGTGCATCGCCGATCCGTCGCCGATGCATCGCCGATGCATCGCCGATACATCGGCGAGGCATTGGCGATGCAGCGCGATCTTTCGACCCCATCGCCTCGGACCCCATCTAGCAGGCCTCTACAAGAGAGGGTTGATGACTGGGGGGGGGATGCCAAGGCGTGGGCCACGATATCGCCCCAGATCTCATGGCGCCTCTCCTCACTGCGAGGCGTCCCTGCCCCCCCCCCCCTTGGGCCTCGCGCGTGCCGCGGGCCATGGTTTGCCCCCCCCCCCCCCCCCCCCCCTCTTGGACACCCTCTCTTGGCCGCCTCTGGCCCCCATGGAGAAGGAAGCAAGCGAACGGGCAAAAGAAAGGTTGGTTTGCCCGACGCACCCCAGAGGCAGACCCCCCCCCCGCCCCCTCGCGCGCGGTCTGCCGTTCAATGCCTGCCAGGTCGGGGTCTCCACTTTCTGGGTGCTCAGGCCTCGCGAGGACCATGCAGCCCTTCGTCCCCAGCCGCTCGCCCGGGGCTGTCCTGCAGGGCTGGAGGGGGGGGGAAGCAGCCTCTGGAGCCCGAGAGCTCACAGCAGAAGTCGCCCAGATCTTGGGTCCCCTCCTAGAGGGCAGACAATCCCCTCCGATGATAACCACCCCGACTCGCGAGGCCTTTAGCAAACACGCCCGAAGAACTAATCGAACGGGGCAGGGCTGTTTAGGGATTTAGGAAACGCCCAGGGCAATTGGATAGAACGCCAATTGTCCGGTCCAGGTGGTTTTTCCTCCCTTGATATCCGCCCGAGGCCCAGATCACATTGGATACCGACTTCGTTCGGTCGCGATCGGCAAAGCTGATCGGCACTCCGAATCGGTCGCGGCCGATCGCGACCGATCCCCCAATCGGTCGCGATGGGTCGCCACCGATCGCGACCGATCGGTCGCGACCGATTTTAAAGCAAATCGGTCGCGACCGATACCGACATTTGAAGCAAAATCGGTAGCGACCGTTCTCGTCGGTCGCGACTGACAAAATGCGGAGCCCAATGGTCAGGGGAGGAGGGTCGGATCGCAGGGGGAAGGGACGGGCGAGCTCAACTTGCGGAGCGCCGCGCGGATTTCTTGGAGCTGCGCTGGGCCACCCCTCCCCCACACCCCTGGCGCGCGGGGCGCGCCAGGGGCGGCCCCCGAGGCGCCGCTGGAGGCAGCTTCGCGCAGATCCAAGGAATCCGCGCGGAGCTCCGACAACGTACAGTCGGGGCCCTAAAGAA